TGCTCTGGGTGTGTTTTGCCCACATGCAGGCGATCTGACCAGGCAGCACTGCCACCCTCTTCTTTGCCAGTCTGAGCCAGGTTATGGTCTCTTGCCACTCAAGACCAGCGTAATGTGGCAGCCCCTAGCAGACTTGTTGATGACTAAGTGTTTTATTTTATATACTTAAAGTCAGCTGCTTTAATTTGCTTGTTCTCCAAGGCTCTGTGTATAAATGCTGGTGAGGTCACCACAGTGAGCCAAACCAGGGCAGCATCAAACAGCTCCTCTTGGAATTATTGACTCCTGGGTATCTGAACAGTGGGAGGCTGGTTTGCAGAGCAGCTCCATGGAAAGTCTGTGTAATGTGTTTGATTATCCAACCTTGCCATTTTCAAAGGGACCCAGTCAAGATTAACAGGGCCTAAATGTACCATCTCCTAAAAATAACTCTGGCTTCCCAGCTCCTCTGCTGATGTTGGGAGTGGAAGAAAAAAGTGATGCTCCAAACTGAGGATTGCAAAGAAAGAGGAAATGTCAAACGCACGTGGCCAACCCCACCCCTTGACAGCCCTGGAGAATGGGTGCTCTTCCATCAGTGCTCAGGTTCCTTCACTTTGGGGTCCCAGGCAGGGCACCCCCTGTGCACTGGCTCTCCCAGGGGACTGTGCTGGATCCATGTGGATGGGAATCTCAGCCAGGCAGCTCTCGCTGCTGGAGACAGCGACAATGGGGATGTTGGCTGTTCCTTGGCAAAGGGAGACACTTCCCGAATTTTCCTAATGTGTGTATTTTTGTTTTCTTCTGGGTGAGGGAGACGAATGAACCCAGCTCTCATCAGCACCTCTGGAGCTGCTTGGGCCTGCACAGGGACAGCCCAGCGAGGGTCACCGTTCGTGCTGGCACGACCCAAAGCCAGGAGCTGCTGCTCTGGGTAACTGGCTCACGGCTGACAGCATTCCCCAAGCACAGGGTGCAGTTGGGCTGAGCCACAGTGTCTCCTGGGAGCAGGACTGGCTGGGAAGGCTCCCAGTTCACTGTGCATTTGTTCTGTGCTGCACAGTTAATATTTTCTTAGGGACTGTCCATGTAATTTTCAAGATGGTGATCAGCCTTGGTTTTGAGAGAAAAACCTGGGCCGGCCACGCTGCTATGGTTGTTTTCTCGCTGTTGTGTCCGCCGGCTCATGCACCTGGAGTCAGCTCCAGGTTTGGGAAGTGTACAGTCCCGGAGTCCTTGGAGGCCTGCTGTGTTTTTAGCTGCTCTGAAGGCAGCCCTTCATCTTTTCCAAGCTACATGGAGTCAGCACTGCTGCCATGTAACCCAGGGGCTGAAGCTCTTGTCCGGGCAGAGCAGGATCAGCAGCTGCTGTTAAAAGGCCCAGAATCTCTCCTGTGAGTGGGTGTTATTCACTTGGTTATACCAGTCCATTCCAGCTGAGGATCTGTCCCTTTGTTTTGTGCATGGGACAATTTGTTTTCAATTTTTGTTTCTGAAAGGAAACTGTCAAGACAAAATTCACACTTAAAAAAATTAAGGGAAACAGCCCTTTGTCCGTTTCTAACAATCCCCTTCGATGACTAAAGCTGGAAGAATTCTAGAAACTGCAGTAATTTTCTACCTTTGCTTTGGTTTTGTGTTGCTCTCGCATTTTCTGAGTTTCAGATCCAACACACCAAAAATACTAGAGGCCCAAATCACCATGTTAGGACGAGTGTAACCCAGAGATGTGTGCTCTAAAGATCAGAATCTGGTTGTGCTTTATCTAGAAGTGGAACTGGGACAGCAGGGAGCCGAGAGCAGCTTGGGCAGGATTCCCTCTCCTTGTAGCACACAGCCTCGTGCTGCCTTTGCAATCCAAGAGGGAACATGTAAAGCCTCCACGAAGGCTGTTCCCTAGAGCAGCACACACCCATCCTCGCCGGGTTCTGCCAATGACCCAATGCAAGTAAAATAAAATCGTGGGGGAGCCAGCCTGCCCAGGCACCAATCTGCAACAACCCCAGCTTTTCCGTGCCCTGGCTGTGCTCAGCCTGCTCCTGGTGGGGTCCTGGCTGCCAGGGAGGTTGTGGTCTCCCTAGGGCAGGGGCTCCTCAGATTTTCTTCCATGATGGTACAGCAGCCAGTGCTGCAGGGACCTGGTCCTTGCCTGGGGCTCCTTCCAACTACAAAGACTTGTTTATTGTCAATCCAAGAAAAAAAAAAAAAGAACTTTTGAAAATAATAATAACAGCATGCATCTCATTTTCATTTTAGTCCTAAAAACTACTTGATGCTCATTACAAAGGAATTGATTCCTTAAATGAATGAAGCAGCCGTGAGTGCTGCTTTCAGTGTGGGACTGCTGACGCTCTGACTCATGCTCTGCTTCTCACAGGCTCTGGCTTTTATGCTTCATTTAGGACACCAACGTCATTAGCATTCAGAGGGCTGCTGCTTTTTTTAAAATTATTATTATACTGCTGTTGTAACTTTGATTCAAAGATGCAAATAATATTTGGATCCGAATCACGGCTCATGTTTTATTACCAGATCAGGGCATGGGGTTTGTTTTCCCTTGACTTGCAAGCCCTAGAAGAAATTCTAGATGAAAATAAGGTGTGGCTTTGTACAGTTCTGAGAAGGTTTCCGGGGTTTTTGGATGCCAGGTTGACTGCTACCGTGGAAAACCATCCCCTGTGGGATGGGTGAGGATACTGGTATGGTGTTGTACTGTATTGTGTGACTCCCCAAGCCTCAGAGTGGCCATACCAGCTGTGTGTGTGTCCCTGGAGATGGCACATGTGAACAGCTCCAAACATGATGCTTTGCTCCAGAGATCCCTGTGCTGCCACTCACATCTCACCTCACAGCATTTCAGAGACACTCAACCACTTTGTTCTTCACAGCTTGTAACCAGGAACTGGGGAAAGGATCCCTTGCTGAGGGATATGATGTGATGTTTTTACTGCAAAGGGGGGGGGGGGAAGAAGAAAAACCCTGAGAGCTTTTCTGAACTCCTGAACACTCTGAAACTCCTGAAAGCCCTCAGGCATGTCACAAAGTCCCTCTCAAGGGCAGCAGCTTGCAGGGATCCTTGCAAGCCCACCAAGGGATGGGGCCCACACCAGCTCTCTACAAAGAGAGTTTATGGGGAAACAACAGAGCAGAATTGTGGGAATCTGCCTGTACTTTCTGTTGGGTCCCCTGCCATGAAATTCGAAGTACTGATCCAATAAAAGGGAAATGTTACTCCTTGCCGGAAGGACATGCTGGGCTGGGCTGGGCTTTCCAGGAGGACTTGTGAATGATGGTTGAAAATTCCCAGCCAAATACCTGGCACCTTTTGAGCTGTAAATGTATAGATCTTTTTCAGATATTACTTAAGCTGAAAGTTGTTGAAAAATCAGTAGTAATTCCCTCATTAAAATCCCAGCTTTATTAATTAATTAAAAGCAACTGCTTCTGCAGATGGATGTGAGCTCTTCCAGAGGGACTTGGGTGCTGTGGCTGAGCAGCTCTGAGTGCCCTGGGGAGTTCTGAGTGCCCCAAGGATCATGGGTTATGACACAGGAGTGTGGGACGTGCAGAGTTCGTCAGCCCTGGGGGCTCCACTTCTCCTGGACGAAGCAGCAGTGCTCACCTGAGAGCCAGTACCACGAGTATCTGCAGGACAAGGCATTCCTGCCTTTTGCCCTGGTGGCTGGGTATTCCAGGGCTGCCTGCAGATAGCTGTGCCAGGCTCTGTTTGGTGGCATTCCTCTGTTTGGTGGCATTCCCAGTGAGTGACAGACGAGCCATCTGGCATGATGCTGAAACTCAGCCCAGCCTTCGCTGAGGAGGAGCCCACAGGGATGACAAAGCACTTCCACACCTTCTGCTGCCGTGTGGGCTGGGCACTGGGACCGGGGTGTTCCTGGGCACTGGGACTGGGGTATTCCTGGGTATTCCCGGGCACAGCAGCGTGAGACAGCACAGTCGTGCTGGAGAGAAAAGACCCTGCCAGACCCTGCCCTCGTAGGGATGGACTGAGCGGCAGCAAGAAAAATGAGGGACTTTCAGGGGCAGCTGTGTTTTACTAACCCAGTCATAATGCCCCTAAAAATCCTTATTGTTCTTGCAATGGTCAACTGTGACCTCCGGCACGGGGAGGCCTGGAAGGGAAGCACGAGCACTCAGGGCTGGGCAAGCACGGAAGGGCAGGCGGCCATCGGGAAGGATGGCTGGGAAGTGGGAGCAGGGTTTCAGACTGGGGAAGGTGTTTCTGTTGGAGGGGAACTAAAAGGACGTGGTGTTGTGACCTGTGGTGTGGAGTGTGTGTGCTCTGTATGGCGCTCAGGGCACAAGAACTGGAACACAAAGATGGGGAAACGAAACAATCCCGAGTGCTTTCCTCCCCACCCCCCCACCAGAGCGAAATGCAGAGAGATGCACAACCCAACCCCAGAGAAACAGCCCGTACCCAAACCATTCCCCACTCCTAATTCCCTGTTTTACTCCTCCTTCAGCAAACTGTCCTTGCAGGTCTCTGCTCATGCTCCTTTCTCTGAGCTTTATTCCTGTTCTCCTTTCTCAGACCAGCCCAGGATGCAGTAATTGCATGCAAAGAAGCAGTTTGTTAAACAGAACCATAATATTTAATTATTTGCCATCTTTATGCATTCTAACACTTCATTTGCATTTCTGAGAGCTTCTATATGTTGAGTAAAAGTTTTTATTTTCATTGAACTCTGCAACAATGTTCAAAGCTTTTATCCTTTAATAACTCTACCCTAGGGTATGGATAGTCAAATTAGTCTGGCCCCACAGCAGCAATGGGCCTTTCACACTGTCTGCTTGGATTACTCATTCATTACCTTTTGAAAAGGCTTTGTTTATGGCTTTTATGATTTTTATCAATTAATTATATGTTTATCAATTAATTCTGCTTTATATGCCTATGCCAGTAGATTAGATTAGAAGTGCATGCCTTTTTTTTTTTTTTAAATTGGGTTTTATGGTTTTGGAGCAGGATTTACTCATGTGTTATTTGTCATTCTCAGGAGCATTTCAAGTGCTTTTCCTAAAGCTGAATTCTCTATAAAGGAGAAGTGACTAGAAACCCTGAACTGAGTCCCAGGTCTCACTTAACTTTGTAAGGCACAGTGACACACTGAGGCTGCTCCACTTAAGGTATGGTATGAACCAGGAGCTGTGGAATGAGTGTTCACATGGATCATCCTGCCTGTGGAATGAGTGTTCACATGGATCATCCTGCTGCAGCTATTCCCGAGCCAGCAGCTGCTGTGTAAGCAGAGCCCAAAAGACAATCCTTGCCCCAGTGACTGTGTGGCAGATAAGACAGACAATGGGCACCAGGAAGGCCCCTGGCTATCAGGGAAGGATGGATACTGTTCAGCCAGCTGGGAACAAAGAAACCTGGGCTGCTCCAGGCCCCACAGGACTGTCCCAGAGTGTCCTTCCCTGCCTGCTGGTGCCAGGAACGTGACACTTTGGGAACTGTTTGTGTCAGGACTCCCTGCTTTGACACCTTTGATTTCTGAGACTGCCTCATTTCAGGAAACCCCAAAGCTCCTCTCCACAAGGATTTCCCCATCCAGCAGCTCTTCACTGGATACTGAAATGAGATGGAAGGGCTTGAATGTTTCCTTGGCAAGATGGGTGGATGGCATTAGTTTAATCTGTTCTGATTCTGGTTCTACCAAGTCAACTGGATCCAATCACCTCCTCTGCTAAAGGCTGCAGAGCAACAGTCTACTGGAATATTCTTTGTGCTGAAAACAGGAAGACATGGAATGAGGGTTTGTAACTTTTTTGGATGACTTTCTATGTTACAATTTTTACCTTTAATATCACCACTTTAAATAAGAATATTTATTTGTTGAAATAAACACATTTTTTGCCCTGAAATACTGGAATATGCCTCCACAGCTTCTTCCCACCTCAGCTCTGCCACTGTGAAGAGAACCCACTTGTGGATTTCAAAGTCAGAAGGATGAGCTGGAACCTCTAACAGAGGATGTGCACAGAGCAATTCCTGCAGTTCCTCCTGCAGCCAGGGCCCTGATGAGTGGATCTTCTCCTTACCTGCTCTAGGAAATCCTGTATAAATGTCTGACAAGCTCTTCCAGGGCTTTATAACTTTGTGTCTTGTTCCTTAAGGCAAGCTGCAAGTTGCCTGCTTATCCCATTCCATCTTGTACGGCCTCTGTGGATGGGACCCTTCCTGTGTGTGACTGCACGTGGTGGAGAGGAGAGCACGGGGGTTTGGGGCTATTTTTATCTGATGTGTTCCCAAAGCAGCTCTCCCAGTTGCCACACTGCCTGTCAGAGTGGAGGGCTGGTGCAGCAGAGGTCTGTAGGGACACTTGGTACGTGGCCAGGAGATCACATGCAGGATCCCTTGTGCACATCCTGCAGTGGGATCCAGCCCTGCTAGTCTCTCTTTAACACTTCAGGACATTCTCAGCAGACCCATGAATCCATTTCTCAGTGCCCAGGCTAGGCCACCAAGACTTCAAGAGCAAATCTGACTGGTTTTAGTTTTCTTTCTTTTTAAGATTCAGCATCACTGAGCACCTCCAATTTGGCTTGAAAAATAAAATACCTAGAATAAAGGTATTTGAAAAGCACATGCAGGTCATCATAGGGTTTTTGCAAACTCAGCCTCAGGTGATGCCATCAGCTTCTACTGCAGTTAAGCACTGCCCCAGACTTCCTTGAAGTTGCCATCTCCAGTCTGTGCTAAGCAGTATGAACATTAAAATAGGCCCTGCTGAAATAAAACACCCTGGTACTTGCATGAACACACTGTTTCCTCAAAAAACAGGTAACTGAACTACACCTGAGCCACCATTTGAGCTGCTTTTCACATCTTTGGAAGGTGCAGGGCATCCAGATCAGTACTGGTGTTACCACAGCCCACAGAGAACAGACCCGAGGCAGCAGAGAGCAAAGAGTGCAGGGTGAGATCCCAACAGGGAAAAGAAAAAAAAAAAAAGAAGTTAAATTTCTCTTCAGGTACGAGCACTTCTGTTAATGCCTTGCAGGCTGCAAGGAGGCTCTCACTGCAGGGGACACTTGCCGAACTGCCCTGCACCATTACCAGCTGCTGTCAGGGCACAGCTCCTGTCCAGAGCAGTTTAATGTGGTACATTCAATCAAACAGAAATTGTATGCCAGCCACATACATGGAATAAAACAAGTGCAGGAAATACATTTTTCAGGCAAATTTGTTGATTTCTTTTTCTGAAGCCCCGTGGTACTTTGCTGTAGTTTCAGATAAATAGCTGCTTCAGTGAGGAAATATAGTTATTTAGGCAAACTTTTATCATAATTTATACCTTTGATTTTCAGCAAGACTGAAGAAATCCAAGCTCTCAAGGAACCTGTAGCTTTAACAGGTCCTTATTAGGCTTTGTCTTTTTAATTAGCTACTAAGAGAACATTTGCAGGCGTTGGTGGAAAAAAACCTGCACCTTCTGCAGTGGGATGGCTGGGCCAGCCTGCACACGAGCTGGACCCTGTTCTGGTGCCCAGTTTGTATTTCCTGGGCTTCAAAGGTTGATATTTGGTACTTTTTAAAGAGGAAAAACCAAAACAACCCCCCAGCAAAGTGAGCAGGCTTCCCTGGGCCACAAACTCATCAGCTGATCTAGGGCAGTGTGACTGTGCCTTTCTCTGCAACATCGAGCTCAAAAACTTTATGTCATTGGAGCAGGATTTCTCTCTTAACCTGGAAGGCTGGCAGTGAGAAAGTCCTCTCTTTACTGAGGCTGATGCTGCTTTAGATGCACCTTAAGGGAAAAAAGAAAAAAAAAATAAGAAAAAAACCCCCAAGCTGTTTCCTGACTATTAAAGAGAGAAGGAAAAAAATTCATGGTATTCTAGGTAAATAACACAGTTGGGTGTAATGAGTCAAATCCCACATTATCATTGTCAGTTGTCCTCTTGGCTTTTTGTCATGGTGCCCATGACCTGACTCACTGTGACAAAACCTGAAGGGGTCCCTGATGACTCATGTACCTGCAAAACCTCCCCTGTACTTTTAAGTTCATATTCCTGTAAACTTCACTTATTCTGCCTGTAAACTCAGATTGGTTCTTTAAGCTCAACAGCAGAACGTTCACAGACAAAGCATGCAGAGAAATTCAGAGATGCAGCATCCAGTTTGTAAATCAGGGTACCAGTAGGCCCATGGAGCTGGGCATGATGCCTTTATTTATTAGTCTGCAATTAAGGGAAGGCGATGAAGTTTCCTCTGAACACCCCCCAGGCCCCTCAGGCTGCTCACCTGCCTCCTGAGAGAAGCTGAGTGGTACAAGGATTCACTGTGCTCCTGAATCTGTGGAGGAGCAATTTGTTTTCTCCTTAAACTTCCTGTGACTTTTGCCCAGCATTCTTAAAGGAAAAATTAAAGACTTAGTGGTTCCTACAGCCTACCTGCAAATATACTCCTACTTCCACTTCTGCTGATTCATTCACTTCTCCCACAGCAGACTGACATCCTAATTAGTGCCAGCATATCCAAGAGGCATTTTCAGTCATCACATAATGAAGTGGAACAGAAAAGGACCAGTGACCCAGTGGGGCCCAGTGCCATTGCACAGGACGGGTTTGGCCCACCAGTCTGTTGGCACAACAGAGGTTCCACAGTCCCCACATCCAGTTACAGAATATTCTGATATTTATGCCTGGTGCCACGGATCTTGTGCTGTGTGTAGTACCGAGGCTTTTGCTCCATGATGGATGAGAAGCAAATCTGTGGATCCCGGCGTGTGGACTTCAAAGTACTTACAGCTCGCGCTTAATTGGGGAAAGGAAGCCAAGGGAAATCATGTGCATTGGAGTCAAATACCATTTTTAGGAGTGGGAACTGCCTGTGTATTTCACCAGTGATTAAAATAGCCAGGGATGAAGGCACACTCTTGATTAATGGTCTCTCTGTGAGCTGAGGACACGTCCTCCAGAGTCTGGCCCTCCTGAGAGACACCCCTGACGTGCCGCTGGGCCGAGCTCAGTTTAAAGGCACGAGCAGGAACTGGTTGGTTGGCTTTTATCATCCTTGCTGTGGATCAGTTATGTCTGGTGGCTTGAATGATTATCTCCTACGTCCAAAGCGTGTGCTGTGTGTAAGTAGCTCTAACCCAACCTGGACCAGGAGCAGTGCTGCATCCCTGCAGCCATGTTCCCATGGAAGGAGGTTCCTTGAGCTCTCCCTGGCATGCTGGGCTGGTGCTGCAGTTGGAACAAGACCAACCAAATGATTATTTTAAAGACACTCATTTTTTCTCTATTCTTGTTCACATTTTGTGACTCTGCTGCTTCTTAAACCCCTGCACGTCCCTCTGGGCAGTGGCAGCTAAACCACTGAGTAGTGGCTTTCTCCTGATAGAGAATCCTGTGGGACACATGGAGGTGAGGGGGAGACCCTGACTATCCTGTCCCCATTACAGGACACAACTGGGCAGCTCAGGACCAGCTCAGCCCCTTTAGCAATCCCTCCCAGCCAGTCTCAGTGGGGTACGGCAGCAGGGCTGGCACTATCCAGCTCCCTGATTATTTGATGCCAGAGGGGATGCTCCCCAGAGCTCCAGAAGCAGCTGTGAGCGGGCTCTGAGGGTTCTGGGGAGGGCTGAACCCCACACAGAAGGTGAGCTGGGGGCTGCTCCACACTCCACCCTCTCTCCCTGTGTGGCAAAAAGCACAGGCTTAACCTCTGCGTGCCTCCCACCCCGGCTGAACCAGAGATAGGAAACTCTGTCTGTCTCAGTGGGTTTCTGCAGCACTTAATTGATTTGTGCTGCTAAACACCCCACAGTAAATGAGTCCAAGGTGTTAAAGGAGGATGCGTTAGTGGGAAAGATCCAGCTGAAGCACAGCTTAGATAGGAACCATGTGTGTGCTGGGACAGAGTGCACCCTCGCCCCGTTCCCACCCCTGGCCCTGCACAGGGGGATTAATGCTTCACGGAAATGCTGGCTTGTTTTCAGGCCTCTGGCTTGTCCTGGAGCATCCCCATGGTCCGAATGTCTGGTGGGATTTGCTGCTGCAGGAAGGAGCCCCAAGTGGCACCAAGGAATGCCCCGTTCCAGCCCCGTGCTGACACCACTGGTTTGCACATTAAGGGTCTCTTTTCCTGCACAGAGACAACAATACAAGGCATTGCTGTAAGAACAACTTGAAAAAGACACAAACGAGGAGCTTCTGGGAATTCCTCAGGTTTTTCCAGCTGCAGAGGAGGGTGAAAACTGTCAGCTACAAAAATATTATAGTTTATGCTGTTAAACAAATCATCATATGTCAACAGGTAGCTGAATTATGTCCAATTCCGCTGGCAGAGGCAGAACTGATTTTGTTCCCAATGCTATTGTATAGTTAACAGCTGGCAGCAAACTGGCAGTGAAGGCTGTGCTGGGCTGATAAATAACCCAACAAGCCTCACAGCAGAAGTATCTCATGGAGGGACTGCAGCTCACGCTGGAATGCGTTGAACAAACGCTTGTTAACAATCTATGCACAGGCGGGGAACTGCTTGATGAAAAGGTACTAGAAAAATGTTATTTAAGACACAGATTTCCTAGGGGTATCAAAAGAACAAACCAGGTTTTAGGCCTAAGAACACCAAACACAGCAGCAAAGCAGCAAATGTTAGCATTTCTCGCTCGCTGAAACCGAGAGTCTGGTAATAATGAGTGAAACGTCCCAACCAGTCTGAAGATATCAAAGGCAAGCCAGGAAACCAACGGAGAGAAATATTTCTGTATTTGTTTCACAGCCCCCAAATTCTGCTGGACAATTTTCCACTCTTCCAGATGTTTTCTGAGGGAGACATGCTCTGATTTCAAATGCTGTGCTGCTTCTAAGGTGTCTCACCTGGGACAAGGCAAGGCGACAAGTGGAAATGCCCCATCATGAGATGCTGATCAGGCTGGAGCCCCTCTTTCTGTACTTAACACTGCTCTGGTTTTGTCTCTGCTCTGGTTTTGTCTCTGGTTTGCAGACATTTTATTTTTACCATGGGTAAGAGCAGGAATGTGTGTGTCTCTGTGAGAGAACGAGCATGGGGCTGCAAGCTTCATCTCAGTGCAAATAATATTTTGGCAGGAAACCTGCAGGAGATTAAATTAGGGGCCTAACGACTGAATATTAAACATTTCAAACTTCGAGTTCCTTTAAATAAGCAGCTACAAAACAAGGAAGAGTCTGACAAAATTAGCAGGTCCAAAGCACTAAAGGAATCCACTAAGGATCACTTGTTTACTAATGCAAATTTAAAAGGACCTTTTTCATTATTTTTATTAGTAGCTGTGTATGTCAACATGCTATTTCCTCAATGCATTTTGAGTCCAGATTAGCTAAAGTTTTAGGTGTTGGCAGACTTGCTACAATAGAAGGGAAATGCCAATGGAATAACTTTAAACATGATCCAATCCCCGATGATTCACTGGATGTGTTAAAATTTCCTTTGAGACCATGTAAGTAATGCAGGGACTGGAGTGCAGAGTGCCTGTGACTCAGCTCTCTGCGAGGCAGCGGGAGGATGTCAGAATTACTCACTGGGACAGGAGGAATCTCATTTATCTATTTATAGGCAAGGCTGAGATGAGCTTGTACCATTAAAGAGCTGAGTTTGCCAGTTCCCATAGGGGATAAGGAAGGAAGGACCTCACTTTAGCTGTTGAAGTAAAAGCCTCCTTTTTTTTCCCCGTTTCCAGAGCTGATGACTGGCCAGTTATGGTTTCCCTGCTTGCACAGGCAGTGCAGGGCTCCTCCTCCTTGTTAGAGGCCAGTGCCCACTTTGCCAAAATCCTGTCTGCTGCACGTTTCTAGGAACACAGGGCTCTGGATTACTGATGCAGTCTCCCACTATCACAACCAATTACATCACATCATGCTTTTTGGCAGGCTATTCCAACACTTCATTTTAAATTTTCAGCCTTAATATCATTTGTTCTTGTGCCAGCATCGTAATTTGGTTTAAACAATTCTCTTTTTCCTCTGATCTTCACCTATCAGATGTATTTACTGAAAACAATCCTATCTGCTCTAGTCTTTGTTTTGAGAAGCTAAACAAATGAAGCTCTTCTAGTCTCCTCTTGTTCTAAACCCTCTGATCATCCTCAGTGCCCTTCTCTGTACCTGCTAATCTTCCTTGAACATGAGTGAACCTGTATCTTCTAGGACTGTGTTTGCCTTTCCATATCAGATCGGTGGCTCACAGTTATCCCTCAGAGCAAGTAATTCTCTGTATGTTTTTTTTTCCACCACCCTGCTTTTGTCATTCTCAAGTGAGTAACGTGATATTCTAGTTATTCATTTTTAACTGCAGGTCTTTATGCTTTGTCTAATCTATCTCAAATTCTGTCATTCAGTTGATGTTCTGATCCCTCTCTGTATCAGCAAAGCCTGTGTCGTCAGCAAATTTCTTTTTGACATTCCTACAGCTGTGCCAGAGTCATTAACAGAACAAGTAAGACCTGCTCAAGACTGACCCTTGAAGAATTCCACTTTCTAACTGCCTCTGTCCTGCCTTTCTCCTTCCCACAGAGCTCCCTGTCCTTTGCCCCAGCAGTTCTGCATTTGCCATCCACACTAATCCCCATCTTCTCAACTTCAACTAGTAATTTCCCATGTGGTGTAATATCAGATTCTTGACTCAAGTCTGGATAGAGTAAAATCACCTGTATTTCATTTGTCTAGGAAAAAAAAATCAGTCATCAAAGAGAAATATGAGGTTAAGCTGAGCTCCTTTAATGTGCCAGTTCTTTCCAAATCCTGGGGTGGAAATCTGCCAGTGCACCTTCATCTGAGCACATGGAATTCTTTAAGCTTTTCCTTCCATCCTACATGTGATAATTTTCATTCCCTTAAGTATGTGCCTACTAGAAATCCTGTCTTTGCCCCACTGTTCAATATGATCATCTCTACTGAAAATGCAGGCAAAGTGGTTTTAGTTCATTTTGGACCATGTGTAGCCTGGTCTAATCTCAACCCTGTTCTCACTACATAATGACCACATTTCTCCTCTTTTCCTCTTCTGTATTTATCGAGCTGAAACCTTCTGCCATCTGTTTCATTTCCTCTTCAAAGTCTGATTCACAACTTCACTACTGACATTTCTCATTCTACCCCTACGTTTTCTGACCTCAGCAAATTAAAATGGGATGACTGAGGCAAACAGTGCCTCCAGTCTCGCCCCACCGCTCTGCTCCAGTGCCACCCTTGTGGCAAAGATGACAGAGCAGCTCCTAAAGCAGGTGGGGAACTGCAGGGCTGAGCATATCACTGGCACAGCGGCTCTTCAGGACCTGCTGCACGAGCAGTTCTGTCAGCCCTGTGGGAGGTGATGGGCTCCAGCAAGGAGCGAGGCAGGGGGGCCTCCCCTGCAGTGCTCCCCTCCAGATATCTGGTCTCGTCCCTGGCTGCACGTGAACTGAACAGCCCATTGCTGCCCACACCTTCTGCCCAGCCCTTGCCTGACTCCGCATGTGTTTGGGGCTGCTTATTTATCCCACTGGTTTCGGAGTGTTTCCCTTCAGGGTTCATCCTCCTGCATGTTCCAACGAGTTTTGGAATCCAGTTTCCATCACATTCAACTCCTCAGCTCCTCAGTGCCGTTGGTTCCACTCATTAGTTCCCTTAATTTCCCAACATTTGTCCTTTTTGAGATGAATGTTTGGTGTGTGACTACAGACAGTGCTGGAGATTCAGCCCTAATGAGGTACCTTTAAAAGCTCCTCTTTCTTAACCAGGGTCTTCAGAGGCTCTGGATGACTCAGAGCTCAGCACTTTAGAGACTGAAAGAACTTCACTTGCCTTTCTTGTGTGTGTGAGGCACTGTAACCCTTCTCAGGATTAACTAGATTTTCATTTAAGGACAACTGAGACATAAAGAGCCTAAAGATAACACTTCAGAAGATACTCCACTGTATGAGTTAAGTGCATGGAGGTGAAGTACAAAGCTTCCTAACCCCACTGAAATCACTGCAGCAGTCAAACCTTGCTCACCTGAATGCCAGGTGCCTGTGCCAAGCTATTTGCTTTGAATTTTGTCTAGTTTCTTGAAGAAAGCAAAGCACAATCCAAGCTGTGGATTGACCTGTCCCAGACACGCTTAGGATGGGCTTAGCTGAGACTGGCCATGCAGGCCAGTGTTAGAAAAGAGGAGCCAAGCCCTCAGAACACTTCACAAAAACGTACTTGTCACCTGAGCACCTTTAAAAATCCCTGTCAGGTAGGTTACCTGTACTCAGAGTGGGATTTGAAGCTCAGCAATCAGTCACCTACCCACTGACTTTCCCTGCTCCCCTGAGACTCGCTCTGGGATCCTGCCCATGGACACATCCTTGTTTCACCTGCTTTCTGAGCTGCAGGACAGCAGCAGCACAGCGTGAGTGACACCACCACAGCACTGAGGCCATGCTGCCATCCTGCACAGATGGAAGCTCTTCCACTGGCAAACTGGTGCATGTTCAAGCCCCGTAGAAAGAGATGAAATGACAAAGAAAAGCAAATTTTTCTCCCTTCCACAAATATACTTGAAAATACTCTGCAGTTGAAGAAAGATATGCCCCTCACCCAGAGCATGTCTGATTTGACTGCCCATTGCTCTGCTGGGCACCTACTGACCTTGGCAGGGTCACAGGACTCGTGTTTGTCTAAAAAAGTAACCTCCTTGTGAACAGGCTCTTTGCTTTGGGAAACACAAAGCAGTCTTGTCTTCCAAGTGTCCAAGCCTTCTTTTCACGTCTGTTTAGTCCTTCAGTAGCATTTATTTTTGGCCTTGAGAGAAAAACACAACTCCACATTAAAGGGGTGGTGTCCAGTTAAACCCACAGGCTGCACCAACCCTTTGCTCCCCCTTTGCAGGGGAAGGCAGTGGAGGAGCCCAACAAAGAACAGGAGAAAACTCTATTGCCTGTTGGGCACAAAGCTGCTTTTGCTTTCGAGTGAAAAGGAGCAGAGCATCCTCAGAAGCACAGAAAAACTGGCCAAACAGGCCAGAGCCTGGATGCCTGAGGCTTTTTAGTAATAGTAATAACAAGTCCAGGGGCCACATTTCCATTTGTCCTGGAAAGCCTTTCCAGCTAGGATCGCTCAGGGCAGGGAGACACCGATGTTCCACAATGTTGTTCTCAGTTTGTGGTGGGTCTGACTCTGGCAATCCCAGACTTTAGCACATCACCTATGGGGGACACCAAATCAGAAACACAGCCTGTCCCACAGTGAGCACAGCCCTGCCAGCACTGCAGGATAAGGCTGTTGGTGCTGTGTGCAGGAGCTGAGGAGGGGCTGCAGGTCACCTCTGCCTCCTGTGACCAGGCCAGCTGCACACACACACCCTGCTCAAGGCCAGTGCTGAGCCACAGTGCTCAGTGGGTTGTGCTCACCTGTTTGACTCTGCAGAGCAGGGGAGTTCACACAGCCTGTGCCAGCTCTGTCCCCTCAGCTCCAGCAGAGACCTGTGACTGTGTGTGGCCCAAGGCAGCTGCACAAGGGCCGTCTAAAGGCTCACAAAGCTGAATCCTGAGGCACGAAGTTCAAGGCAGAGGTCCTGTACGGGCAGTGTGTGTGGTCAAGACCTGCATTCCTTTGGGGAGAGGCAGAGGAGGAGCAGGACTGCATCAGGAGCTCTTTGGGCTGGATCTGCAAGAGGAAATAAGCTCAGTTTGGCCACAACTATGTTTCGGGCTACCCATCAGCATCCAGCATCCCAGGTCAGGGAGCTGTGCCCCCTCCTATAGGACTGACTGAGCTGGGCCCCTGAGAACAGTGTCATGAGAGCACCCTGCTCTCCAGACCTACAGGACAGGGACCACAGCCCTGCCCACTGAAACCGGGGGGACTCTGCCACAGGCCTGCCTCACCCCCCTCCTGCAGCAATCCCTGATCTTGTAGGTCCACTGAATTCAGTGAAATTAGAGCTGTCAGGCCCTGGATGTCCATGAAGGCATGTCTGGGCCCAAGGAAATGGAGGCAGCAACTCCTGGACACGATGGAAGCTGAAATCCCAGGAAAGCCTGTGTCTGCCTGACGCTGAGCGAGTTAGCGGAATATTAACAGCGCCTCACTCAGAGTAAGTGCTTCTGGATGCCTGGTTGACTTTGGCAAGGGGCACTTTGAGAAGGATAAAACTGCATTTTCATTGCTGAGAACCCTCCTCCAG